AACTCTAGCTCAAGTCCCTTCACTGCCGTCAACATGACTCAAGAAATCGTAATGACACGATTGCAAACAAACCATACCCCCGGCCGGGATTGAACCCGCGGTCATAGAGTCTCAAAACTCCAGCCCGTCGCGTTAGCCACTAGCAACATCTGCCACATTGTTTTTTTTTTTATCCACCATAAAGACGTCAAACACATCCTTGCCTGTAACTAAGTATTATTCAATAATATATTTCAGTAAAGACACTTATTCTACACATGCTTCACCCTTCCCAAATCCTTCTTTACGATCCTACTTCTTGTCTCTGAACCTTAAGTGTTCATCTGGTGTCAGATGAAGACTTAAGGTTCTTGTCTGAACCTTAATTAAGTCTTCATCTCGTGTCAAAGAAATTGTAAAAGGTAGGATTTTTCTGCTGAAAATCGCAAAAGAAAAAGTAATAATTAAAAAGAAAAAAGTGTCTAAATCCTAGAGAAAACCTTAAAAGATCTACATTAAACAATAATTTAGGAGTAATAAATTAGTCCTCAAGACAGAGGAGTTACGGTAACTTCTCTGAGCTCAAGTGCAGCACTGAAGGTGAGCAGTGCTATAGATCCTTCAAGAAACCTAAGTCACATGGATCCACAGAGACAGAGCAAAACATTAGCCAAGCCTCGCAGCTCTTCGTAGGCGTGCAGACGTCCCATAAGCCGAGACCATACTCGAGATGAGTTATCTTCTAACAACTGAAGGGTATCTCTCTCTCTCTGGTAGAAATCGATAGCTGACGGATGACAGAGTAATTTAACCAGGAAGAGCGTGGATAAGATTATTCAAGACTACACAGATTGTTAGGTACACAGCCGCTGTCATTGCTTCAAGCGTCGCAAGAACCAGTTTCATTTTCTCTTTGACTGTATTGCTAAACAAGTTTTAGTCTCCTTCCTTCGCCCAATTTCCTCGAGTTCAACACCTTGTGCATTCGATTTCCTGACCATGTTCGCTTCTTGCTACCACAACTCTTACTTTCTACTATGACTCAGGTTGAAGATGCTCTCTTTCACACTGCCTCATTGCCAACGTTCTGCCTTTTCCTCTCTCCCAAATGATCTCTGCTGCCTTCGTGACCGTAACGTCACGAAGCGTAACATAAAGCACAGACTATAGTGTTAAGTATGGACTGTAAAGTTAAGCACGGACCATAACGTTAACGACGGACCGTAACGTTAATGAGGGACCATAACGTTAAGCACGGACTGTAACATTAATAAAAGCGTAACGTACGGACCGTGACGTTAATGAGGAGCCATAACGTGAGGGAAGAGAGACCATAAGCTGAGCAGATTGCCTGACTGTGTTGTGATATAACTCTCATCAAGATTGATCTTCAACTCCTCTACTTCCTGGTATTTTTTGACTCCCTCCTGCTAACGATGTCTTCAATTAGACTTAAGACGTAAAATTCGCGGGGCGTCAGTTAGACTTTGCGCTGAAATTAGTGTCGGGGGATGTGGGCGAAAATTGTCACTGCTGGATCTGCTAAATTATCACAGCAGATTTTCCCAAAACAAACTGTGTAATTGCAACATTTTTTAAAATTAATTTTGTGGAATGCGCGCCCCTCCTGACTCATTTTTTTTTTCTGTATATAATATTTTTCTGGGGGTGGTAAAATTTGACCAACATAAAAACAATATAGACCCTTTTTTTTTGTAATATACTCTATAGGGTTAAATTTACGTATGGTAATTGATTTATGTGGTTTTTCTATTGCTGTTTATCTAACTTTGTGTTAACTTCAGCATACTAAAATCTTATTAGGAGACGGAGGTTCGAGCCTACACTGCTCTCTGAACTGTATGGCCCACACAGGTTTAGCGCTGCACGCAAAAATACGCTTATGTTAAGAGCAGAGAAAGAATCGCTTAAAAAAAAGTCGATCTTGCTTATTTCGTTTATTTAACAACAATGGGTTTCGGATAAGGCTTTAATTGGGGCAACGCTTCGCCCAACAGCTTGTTAAGTCCCCACACGGAGCGAAACGTTGTTTCAGGAAAGGGTTGCTTTGCAACCTGTGTCTGTAATACGACCTTTGCAACCCAAGATCGACTTGTTCCACACACACACACACACACACACACACACACACACACACACACACACACACACACACACACACACACACACACACACACACACACACACACACACAAAGAAAACAAATAGAATACAAAAAATATAATACCTCGGCTGGAACAATTCACCAAAACAACGGCACTTAGAAGAAAATCCTTACGACTACGTTTCGGTCCCTCCCAGACCATCATCAAGTCACAGCTGGCTTGACAAATGGTCGAAGACGGACCGAAACGTCGTCATCAGCTTCTTGTACAACAAACTTCGTTATAATTGTGAAAATTAGTGGAAACATTAACAAAATTATTAATTCATCGTGAAAGATTTTTTTTTTTTCCCCTCAGCGATGATTATCAAGATAATCTGTTGGTCTATGTCTCGCGCCTAGGATTATTAAAGAGAGAAATAAATTCTTAGGATTTTAAGGGCGAGATAAATTGTTAGGATTTTTAAGGGCGAGATAAATTGTTAGGATTTTTAAAGGCGAGATAAATTGTTAGGATTTTAAGGGCGAGGTAAATTATATGTGATTATTGAGGGTTAGATAGTAAATGTTTAATTATTAATTTATTGTTAAATTATTTTAATTAACAATGAATATGAAACTTGGTTATTATATGAATTTTGTTTACTCTCTGAGGAATGTGTAAATTATTTATCGAGAAATAGATAAATTATTTGATTATTTGAGGGATGAGCACATTAAGTAAATTTTAAGAGCAGAGAGATGAATGAAATGGTGTGCACAGATTATTAAATATTTTACGTGAAGCGTTAAACTCGTGTGGGGTTGCTGCACCAGAAGTGCTACAGGCTCGATACTCCTTCTGTTAATCGGGAGACATAATACATCAACACAATTGGATATACTGAGGGGTAGAAACAGAGATGTACCAGGAGTAAATGACTGAGAACGCTCGTTTGAAACCAAGTGGACAGAGATAGATATTTGAAAGAATCGCTAGTAAACAGTTGACGAAAGATAGACAGGTGTGACGAAAGGTGAATGTTCTAAATTTATATGAAGCGCTGCACCAGAGTGTGTTCATCGGTGTAATGATTCGTGTAGACTCGTTCCTCCGTCCTGAATGGGTCGGACGCCCTACCTTCACTAGGTAATGGTATTTAGCTGTGGTACCATCCCAATGTTGCACACTACCGAGAAGTTGATGACTAAGACACATGTGCAACACTTGTGTATCTTCTTCATCGATCAAGATACCCATGTTTTGCACAGCTATTTTGTTAATTAACCCACTGTTTTTTATACTAAAAGCAACATTTGAGATTCCCATGGGGTCACCCATCCAAGTACTACCCCAGGCATTGTTGTTTCAGTCTCACTGCCAGTCAACCATCCAAGTACTAACCCAGTCATCATTGTTTCAGTCTCACTGCCAGTCAGCCATCCAAGTACTAACCCAGCCATCATTTTTACAGCTTCACCGCGGGTGGTTGAGGTTCCTGGAGATGTGGAGGTGGAGGAGGGAGCTCCCTTACTGCTGGTCTGTGCTGTCCAGGGCTACCCCCCACCTCTGGTCTACTGGACCCGCGAGGGCTCCCAGACCATTCTACCAGCTGCCCGCACACCCATGGACCCGGGAGTGGGCGGGGAGGAAGGGCTGGAGGGCATTAAGTTGGCTTATTCTGTGTCCCGAGCTGCCCACCCACACACGGGGCGGTACGTGTGTGGGGGTGTGAACAGTGCAGGAGGGGTGATGACCCGTGTGGGAGTGAGAGTGCGTCCCGCCCACCTCCTGCCCCCGCCCATTATCTCCGTGGCCCCAATCAACCAGACGCTGCCGTTAAGGGGGCATGCTGCCCTGACCTGCCGTGTGTGGGGGTCGCCGCCCCCCACTGTCACCTGGAGACAGAACGGCCGTTTAGTGACTTCTGACACCCGGAGGTCACTGCTACCTGACAACACCCTCACTATTGATGGTAAGACCACAATCACCCTTCACCACACCCACCCTAAGCCACACCCACCTTAAGCCACACCCACTCTAAGCCACACCCACCCTAAGCCACACCCACCCTTCACCAAACCCACCCTTCACCACACCCACCCTAAACCACATCCACTCTTCACCACACCCGCCTTTCGCCACGAACATCCTTTTCCACGCCCGCCCTTCACCACACTCACCCTTCACCACACCCACCCTTCACCACACCCACCCTTCACCACACTTACCCTTCATCACACCCACCCTTCACCACACCCACACTTCACCAAACCCACCCTTCGCCACAGCCACCTTCACCAGACCAACCCTCCACAAGACCACATCTTCCACCAGACCAACCCTCCACAAGACCACATCCTCCACCAGACCAACCCTCCACAAGACCACATCCTCCACCAGACCAACCCTCCACAAGACCACATCCTCCACCAGACCAACCCTCCACAAGACCACATCCTCCACAAGACCAACCCTCCACAAGACCACATCCTCCACCAGACCAACCCTCCACAAGACCACATCCTCCACCAGACCAACCCTCCACAAGACCACATCCTCCACCAGACCAACCCTCTACAAGACCACATCCTCCACCAGACCAACCCTCCACAAGACCACATCCTCCACCAGACCAACCCTCCACAAGACCACATCCTCCACCAGACCAACCCTCCACAAGACCACATCCTCCACCAGACCAACCCTCCACAAGACCACATCCTCCACTAGACCAGCCCTCCACAAGACCACTTCCTCCACCAGACCAACCCTCCACAAGACCACATCCTCCACCAGACCAACCCTCCACAAGACCACATCCTCCACCAGACCAACCCTCCACAAGACCACATCCTCCACCAGACCAACCCTCCACAAGACCACATCCTCCACCAGACCAACCCTCCACAAGACCACATCCTCCACCAGACCAACCCTCCACAAGACCACATCCTCCACCAGACCAACCCTCCACAAGACCACATCCTCCACCAGACCAACCCTCCACAAGACCACATCCTCCACCAGACCAACCCTCCACAAGACCACATCCTCCACCAGACCAACCCTCCACAAGACCACATCCTCCACCAGACCAACCCTCCACAAGACCACCTTAACTTCACATCTCAACTTCAGCCAATAACATGGCGGCGTGTTCAACTAACACTAACCTTCCCAGATGTTATATTCAGCCAACAACTTCCTCAGATTTAGACGTAGTTGGTAAAATTTAGAAACTTTAACCAAGAAGTCTTTCAAGTGTTAAATTTCGTCTTGAGGTTCTCCAGTGTTAGTTAAACTTGCAACTTTCTCATCTCAAATGAGACATTTAACTGTTATGAATTATCTCTTATTCCTTTCAATTTGTCATAATGTTACTCAGAAAATATTCAGTTGCGTGAACCACACTAAGACTTTGTGTTGCCTCCGCCACTGTGGTTCCCTCCTGCCCCCGTGGGGACCTCACTTCCCTGTGGGTCTTGCATTATCCTTGTGGGCTCCTCCTTCCTCTTGTGGGTCCTTCACAAACCTTGTGGGTTCCTTTTCCCTCTCGTGGGTCCTTTACGTACCTCGTGGTTTCCTCCTCCCCCTGTGGTATCCCTGCTAACATTATGTGCTTCCTTGGCAGAGTTAACTACAGAGGACGCTGGGGAGTACGCTTGCGTGGCGTCATCAACACGTGGCGTCACGGAGTCGCGTGCCACACTTACCGTGGCTTCCCCCGCTCACCCGGGCGTGGTGTTCTCCCGCGCCCCCGATCCAGACACCGCTCCACGCCCTCCTGCCACGCCCACGGTGCGTGCCAACAACGGCACGGCCGCCGTGGTGGAGTGGGCGGCCCCGGAGCGTCAGGGCGCGTCGCCCGTGACGGGTTACACCCTAGAGTACTACAGTAGTGCAGGGGCGGCATGGAAGGTGGCAGCCGCCCACACGCCCCTAACCTCCTTCACCCTTGCTCCCCTCGACGCCGCCAGCACCTACGGTGTCACCGTCCGCGCCCATAACTCCCACGGGGTGTCGGAACCCTCTGGGATAGCGGAAGTGGGCGTGGGTGGAGGGTGGGTGCGGGCAGAAGAGGAAGAGACGGCGCTGCAGGAAGTGAAGGTGATGCTGCAGGATGCTGTCACTACTGGACCAGCATCAGCTAAGATTCTCTGGCAGGTGAGTGCTGGGAGTGGGGGGGAGTCTCGAAGAGCTAAACCCATGTGTTAATCAGGACCAAAAGCCAGGGAAGGGCTCTATCCTCTGCGCACTAGTCAGGTTCAGGAGCTAGAAAAGGCTCTGTCCTCCGTACACTAGTCAGGACCAGGAGCCAGGGCAGGCTCTGTCATCCGTACACTAGTCATGGCGGCTGCTCTTTGAATAGTCACACCGCAGGTGTGTCATCAGTGATATTGCTCTTATGTATAACTTCCAGTTGAAGTTGACATGGGTTGAAACCCAGCTCTGGAACCTGTGTATTAATATTCAATAGATGGCCAACAGTTCTCTCCATACTGTCTTGATCTTTGCGTCCATGTGTGGAGTAGCAGCTGTTGTCCTGTCCTAGTCTTTTGTTGAGAAGATAAGGATGAAGCCATGAGAGATTGACTTTTGGATAGCACTTTCTTTTATTAAGAAATGTACAGCACTCAGTATACGAAGGCCCAGAGCCTGCTGGTATTTTTTGAGTCAAGGAGAAGCACGCGTCTGGCTGTTGATACTAGGAGACAATGGTGAGTAATCAGAGGGAAGGATGATTCATACCGTCTACGTGGCTATGAACGGCTCACAAATGTTACTGAGGTATGACTTTGTGGAAGGTTTGACGGGTGACACTGGTAGGCTTTCATTCCTTCAGCCACACTATTCGGGTCAGCTCAACATGACATTTACTCTAACTGGCTCAACGTTGTATTTTGACTTCGTCAAAGGCTTTGCAAAAAATAATGGAAAAAAGTTCCACTGAGGCACAGAAAACATTAATTGAATGTCTACTTCAGCTGAGAGGAATGGCACAGACGAGTTTGTTCCATGGTTATGCAGCTGCCTGATAGGAAGGGGAACTTACAGTTCTAGTTACAGGTGTATGCCTTTTCTCTTTCCCTTGTCAGTGGACCACATCATGCTGACAAGCTGTGGAGAAAACAACAAGAGTCGCTCATCCTCGCCTGTAAAATACTAAGGTAACAGCATTTTATAATGGTATGGAATATATCCATATAAGGGCAAGTGTGTTAAGGCAAATAGTTCTGGGTTCCAACTGTAGTGAGATAATATTATAGTTCGACTGTGGAGGAGAAATCATGATCTCATATTCCAGGTGCTTGTCATACCCAACGTGGAAACCTCCGATCGTAATGATAAGGAAGAGGAAGAGGATGTCAGATAAGGTTAACCAGCGATGTGTTTCCATCAGCTTGAAATCTCTACTGTGAGCATTACTGACAAAGATTTTGGTCCTTCCAGCGTGCCAGGAAGGTTCTACGAACACACATTTGATTTTGCAAGAGTCGCTTGTGGCTAGCACGTGATTATCTCATCTGATACGCTGGGTGCAAACAGTGTAACTACTCTGAATGAGTTAGCTAAGAAAGCGACATCTTTCTTTGTTCAACCTTTAACTGTAGTCACTGAAGTCACGTTGTGATGTCAACAGTCGCCCTGAGAGTTTAGTCTGCAGCTTGATCACTATCAGTATCACGAACAAGGCAGGAGGTCGAGGCAGGGCTTGTCTGAGTGTCCTCTGACTGCCTCCTCATGCTGTGGTTCTTGCCTTTCTCGAAGGGCTACGACGACATATGTCACAATGAGCCCTACTCACGAAAGTCTGGTGTAGAAACATTGGCTGAGCGCTCAGATACTGCCCAACCTGCCCGTGGCGCGGAGGTAGGACTGCCTTCTCATGACGATGTGTGTTCAACAGGTGGTGATGTGCTCATCAGGTGATGTGATCATCAGGTGATTTGCTATGTTCATCGGGTGATGTGCTGTGTTCATCAGGTGATGTGTTCATCAGATGATTTGCTATGTTCATCGGGTGATGTGCTGTGTTCATCAGGTGATATGCTGTGTTCATCAGGTGATGTGCTGTGCTAATCAGGTGATGTGCTGTGTTCATCAGATGATGTGTTCATTAGGTGATGTGCTGTGTTCATCAGGTGATGTGTTCATCAGGTGATGTGCTGTGTTCATTAGGTGATCTCAAACATACCGTCTTGAAAAGTTTTACCGCAGAAATCAGAAGTGCCTAGACACTGGACGCACTCAGAGACTGATTGGCAAACAGGTTACGTGAATGCAACACTCAAGAAAGCTACGCTACCACTCACACTTGAGATACAGTGTGCTGCTACCCTATTCTAAGTAACAGTTACACAGAGGGAGCAGAAGCATTTGAAAATTTTGTGACGGGGGAGTGAGGGAAAGATAGTGAGGGGAAGGTGAGTGGCCAGAACAACAGGGAAGAGGGAAAGTGCCGTGGGAAGGGGGTAAGAGGGAGAAGCCTGAGGGAAAGTAAGGAATAGGAGTCAGGGATGAGGAATGAGGAGTGAGGAGGGAAGGATGTAGCAAAGAGAAGGGGTCAGGGGTTAGGGTTCAGGGTTCAGGGACTGCCCTGTGATGTACCGGGCAATTCTTATGCAGCAACGGCAGACTATCAAAACTTTTCAAATCCTGCGTTTGGATGTAGGGGCGTGTGTGTGGGAGTGTGTGTGGGAGTGTGTGTGGGAGTGTGTGTGGGAGTGTGTGTGGGAGTGTGTGTGGGAGTGTGTGTGGAAGTGTGTATGGGAGTGTGTGTGGGAGTGTGTGTGGGAGTGTGTGTGGGAGTGTGTGGGGGAGTGTGTGTGAGAGTGTGTGTGGGAGTGTGTGGGGAGTGTGTGTGGGAGTGTGTTTGGGAGTGTGTGTGGGAGTGTGTGGGAGTGTGTGTGGGAGTGTGTGTGGGAGTGAGTGGAGGAGTGTGTGTGAGTGAGTGGGGAGTGTGTGTGGGAGTGTGTTTGGGAATGTGTGTGGGAGTGTGTGGAAGTGTGTGTGGGAGTGTGTGTGGGAGTGTGTATGGGAGTGTGTGTGGGAGTGAGTGGGGAGTGTGTGTGGGAGTGTGTTTGGGAGTGTGTGTGGGAGTGTGTGTGGGAGTGTGTGGGAGTTTGTGTGGAAGTGTGTGTGGGTGTGTGTGTGGGAGTGTGTATGGGAGTGGTGTGGGAGTGTGTGTGAGAGTGTGTGTGGGAGTGTGTGTGGGAGTGTGTGGGGGGAGTGTGTGTGGGAGTGTGTGGGGGGAGTGTGTGTGGGAGTGTGTGTGGGAGTGTGTGGTGTGAGTGTGTGTGGGAGTGTGTGGGGGAGTGTGTGGGGGAGTGTGTGGTGAAAGTGTGTGTGGGAGTGTGTGGGGGAGTGTGTGTTGGGGTGTGTGTGGGAGTGTGTGTGGGAGTGTGTGTGTGTGGGAGTGTGTGTGGGAGTGTGTGTGGGACTGTGTGTGGGAGTGTGTGGGGGAGTGTGTGTGGGAGTGTGTGTGGGAGTGTGTGTGGGAGTGTGTGTGGGAGTGTGTGTGGGAGTGTGGGGGAGTGTGTGTGAAAGTGTGGTGGGAGTGTGTGGGAGTGTGTTGTGAGTGTGTGGGTTGTGTGGGGGAGTGTGTGTGGGAGTGTGTTTGGGAGTGTGTGTGGGAGTGTGTGGGAGTGTGTGTGGGAGTGTGTGTGGGAGTGTGTATGGGAGTGTGTGTGGGAGTGTGTGTGGAGTGTGTGGGGGAGTGTGTGTGGGTGTGTGTTTGGGAGTGTGTGTGGGAGTGTGTGTGGGAATTGGGTGGGAGTTTGTGTGGGAGTGTGTGTGGGAGTGTGTGTGGGAGTGTGTGTGGGAGTGTGTGTGGGAGTGTGTGTGGGAGTGTGTGTGGGAGTGTGTGTGGGAGTGTGGGGGGGAGTGTGTGTGGGAGTGTGTGTGGGAGTGTG